TTAAGCTTTACAAAGTCATTTAGAGCAACTTGCAAACCGCCAGACCGCCCACTCTGCCTTCCTCCGCTCCCACGTACGCTGGGAGCGATCCGGAATAACCCAGCCCGTCTCAGTAGAGACTTCTCACTCTGAAAGGCACCAGAGCGACTCACAGATTTTCGAACTTCGGTTTGGATGCAAACCCAGGACTTGCTCATCCTATCTCAGGGTGTTTAGCACTGACTTTAATTAAAAACCTCCTCACCGCGCCAAGCAGACATGCAGATGCAAACTTCCCCCATTCGGTGTCTGCACCGCACAGCTTGAAAAAAAAAAAACGCGCTACTACACTTACAGTCTGAGGTAGACGCATGAAGCAGGACCTGCCTGTAAAATTTCCTCTTGTTCTGCAAACTCTCTCTCTCGCTGCACTGCCCCAATTTACCACAGCGAAAAAAAAAAAAAAAAACTAACAAAAACCGCAGCCAAATCAATATATTCTTGGGAAGGAAGGGAGGGGGGGCTGGTAGAGTGGTTTTTGAAGGCAAGCCAGAGAATATTCTAAACGGGGGACACACAGCATGTTTTAACTGCTGTGATAATTCTGCATAAAGAGATGTTAAGGATCTAGCTCCTTGCTGTAGCATGCCATGTGTCCCTGAATAAAATTACTGCCATGCAGGCTGTTAGCAGAGGAATGCGTAAACAGACAATGTATCCTTGCATCAGTTCCACAAAATGTTGCACAACACAAATGCCTCTCGATGTGTCATTTCCTGCTTGGCCACCAGCCCAGCTCCTGACAGGCAGTCAACAACAAAAAAAAAAAAGCAAAAAAAAGCAAAAAAAATTAAATATATATATATATATAAAGTACTGAAAGATTTAAAGCTGTTCTACTCCAAAGCACATTCCACCAGCCCCAGACTTATCCCTCCACCCTTCGAAAGAAAAGAGGGAGAACTTCCTCAAAACTGTTACGGTTTTAAGTCGAGGAATCTCAAAAATCTCAATGGCTTATCTGCGTTTTATAAGCCAGGTCGGCCAAACAGTTAACACAAAGGCTGAGCAGAACCTCTCGCTGGCTTCTGCAGCGTGCGCAGACAAAAAGGCGATGTTTGCTCATACCTTTCGTCACGTGCGCACCTTGCAAGCTGCAGCGGCAGAGGAACATTCGGGAGCTGAATGAAAGAAGAGTTTTCTCCTACTGAAATGCTTCAGTTCAAAGCTCAGAACCACTTTTCCATTCACACTGAAAGTTGTAGTCAGTGACTTTGGAGACTACCTTTAATTAGAGACGAACTAAAGTCTTTGGAAGCCGGGCAAAATATAAAAATATATAGACTTCTCCCTCCTTCTTCATGATTTCCCTCCTGATTGGGTTTCTGCCAAAAGCAGCCAGAAAGGAGGCAACATCTCCTATTTGAAAGGTACCGCTATGGAAGAGCAAATCATTATTTCTGTATTTGTAAGGAGGTAGGGCAAAGGCATTAAAGGGGGGCTTAGGTAAAGGTTTGGCTTTTTTTTTTTTCTGTTTTTTTTTTTTTTGCTTTATTTAATTCCTTAACAGGAATCTCTTGCAATCTGTCGGTCAGTTATGACCTCATGACAACTTATTTCTCCAGAAAACTTCTTTCAGGCCTCCCAGCTGGAAGGCAGCTCTGCTGGCTAAGATGTGCAGAGGATTTATCCTGGATATGAGGAGAGAAAAATATCTACAGGATTTCCCAATGATTCCCAAAGATCTTATACAACCCTGTCTCTAGACTCCATCACTCAGAGTGCAATGTGCTGTCTCGATCCAGCACAAAGACTGTGCAACACAGTAGAAGTCCCTGGATGGTAATTTAGATGGATGGTAATAAATGATTAAAAATAAATAAATCTTTTCCAAGGAAAAATGATCAGAAGACCTTTCCTCATATAAAAATGGGCAGCTTTTCTGAGCGGAGCAACCTGACATCACTGTCTATTAAAATATTTTACAATAATAACAGAGAGGGAAGGCAGCAAGCTTCTACAAGCATATGTTTAATACAAGTAAACGGCACATACATTTAAGAACCTGACTTTTCTGAGGTGCTGAGCACCCAAAACACCAACTGGAGTCACTGCATGCCATGACTGTTCAGCACTCTTAAAGTCAAACTCGAAATGATTGCGCTATCTGTCATGGTACTGCTGCTGCTCCTACTGCTGCTGAAAGCACGCAGCATTCGTTCACTCCAGTCAACTTGCCAACAGAAGGTCAGAGTGCCTTGCCTATAAACAAGCCTTACAAATTCACGATCTAAAGCATGATGTCATGTCTTAAAATGATAAGCTGGCAACAAAGTAAATGACATTTTGTAAAGATGTGCATAATTTTATGTTTACGCTACTTAGAATGAAGGTTCTAATAAGTCATCAGTTGTGTTCCTTTAAAGGGAAGTTTTATAACTGAGATGAATCACAACTGCAAAAGATCAAAGTTAAAAAACATCAATGATGCCATGGGGTACTTTTTAATCTTGTAATGAATGATGATCATGTGCTCTTATGAAGTTGGTCCAACTGCCAACGCCAGATGTGTATATTAAGAAAAAAGTTGTTTGTGATGTGACAGCTCTGGTTGAGCTGCCAGAGAGAGGAAAACTGGGATAACATGCTTGAGATGTCGAAGTGAAATACAGATCCTGGCAGAGAGGGGCACTATTTACCGATACATAATTTGTTAAGAAAAACACATTTGCTATCAGAGCCGCTCGTTAACTTGAATTCCTCATTGCCCCCAACCACCTAATTTTCCTTATGCAATGTAAATGCCAGATACACTTCTTGAACGATTACTACCAAACAGTAATAAACCTATACGAGTGCAGGGGCTCTCACAAGAAAGCAGAACTTCAGCGAAACTCCCACAGCTCACTGGAGCTACTTTTTCCCTGAAAAATCAAGTTTAATAACTGGAGGTATCAGAGCCTTGAAAGGATCAGACTGCAATAACAGAACTTGCAGAACAAAGCTGACTGCAGAGTGGAGCTTCACTAAGTATTTGGCCAAAATATTAAAATTCAAATGGATATTCAAGCTCAAATTTGGCTTTCTTAAAAAAAAAAAAAAAGAAAGGTGAAGGATGACACAGTAACTCCATCTAGGCTGTAAGAACTAAGTCACTGTGCATTCCTAGGTTCAGCTGTTCAAAGAGAATAGCAGACAGGTATCGCATATAGAGACCTTTCAGGTCAAAACTGAAAAACTCCAACAGAACTTGGAAATCTTATTAAGCTACATGAACACAGCCTCACTTTTAGTCCACTCGTCACCAAAACGGTTGGCCCCAATGCAAGTGGGTTCCCTTTCTCTTCCACACAGAGTAGTACACGCTATTCTCCGCATCATTTTCAAACCCCTCTCCTCTTTCACAGCGGTTGTGTCCTCTGTGGGGAGATTTCCTCTTTTGTGGATGCCTCAATACATACATGGAAGCAGCCTTCAGATGGGAATGGCTAAATGATAAATAACTTATTCCCTGTTTTTTACTCCACTAAGGCAGTTTGCCCCGTGTCTCCAAGTAAGCTACATGGAGCAGGTGGAAATTAAAAATGGGAACTGATTCAGCTCGGGAGAGAAGACAGACAAAAATCCCCTTGCTGTGACAGAAGGACACCTCAGCTGTGAGCAGGAAGCAACGCGAGTATCTACATAATGATATTTATCCACAGCAATTTGCTTTTTCTTTTCTGTTATTCAAGGTGAAACTCTGCAGCCAGGACAGTTCTTACAGAAGGCATTTCAGCTCCCGTCTCTCAGTGTAAGAGGAGGTCACACCGCAGCGTGTATTAGCACGAGAAACACTTAACTGCATGAATTCTGTCTATGTCTTTCTACTTATTCTGTCTTTGTGGTATTTTAAACAAAACTCCATGAAAGCTCCTTAAAGGTCTCATTTGTATGTGCAGATCAAAGACAAAATAATTATCTGAGATGCTTCCATTACAGGGATTTTTTTTAATGTGGTTATTCATCAAATAATTCTTAATCTCTAAATGTAATTTAAATACAGCTATACCTGGTTAATCCAATCAATTTAGAAAGAGTCCCTCTAGTTAGATTAAGACAAAACTCCAGAACTGGCTCATCAGTGATACCCATACGATGTGAGACTGGTTACCAGCTCAATCTGCTAGACAGCGAGACAGACATATAAATCATGATGGATTAACCAGACTTGACTGTATCTAAAAATAAGTGCTACCCATAAAACTGCTAGAACATGGCAAAACACAGTTTTCATAAAAATATAGCCAGTGATCATTGCAAATAGATCCTTAGTAAGTTAGGAAGGTGCTTTGCTATGAGATAAACGCGCTGAGTGAAAATCTGCTGGCCTATGTTTAAATAAAATATGCTTTCTGTGCACAAATAAGAAACAAAGACCGTGCTGTTGATACACTGGTTTTTTATCTTTCTTTGGCCCCCAGGGGTCTATGATGAGTCCATAGCTGAAAACCAATTTCAGGTATGATGAGATTAACCAGGTGTATTAATTATCTGATGGCAAAAGAATTTAAGGGCAAACAAAAAGGCACTATGTTATGCATTTTCCCTCTGCGCTAGGACTGATCCTGAAAGATCAGTCTCCTATTTTGTTCTAAATGTCTTCAGTTGGAAGCTTAGAGGAGTTTAGGAAATTCAGCACGTTGCAGTACTGTATCTATTATGCCTAAATCGGATTATATATAAATATAGTTTATAGTTTATAGTTTATAGGGTTTAGTTCTCATTTACACTGGCAGATAATGTATCAAGACCTTGATGTGAATGAGAATCAGGTTCGTGATTGCCCAAATTCAGCCAAGCACTTAACCGTGTGTTTAATGCAAGTATGTGTGTGGTCCAATAGACTCCAAATTAAGCATGCGCTTACATATTTTGCTGAGCAAGAATCAATGTTTGACAAAGAGATATATTTCATTTATGGGTCTCTGTTAAACAAAATTAAGCAGACGTAAGTGCAAAAATAAGAATTTAATACTCACTTCTTGGCTCCCTTGGCCCATCCACTGTAACCTTTATAGCTCTGTGGTATGTAGCGACTTGGGGGGGATTTGTCAGGACAGTTATTGTCAAAGTAAAGCTCTTCCCTACAAAGGGAAAAAAACAAGGAATGAGTGATTACAACATGAAAACAGTCACATGCATGTTCAGTAAGGAATCAGAGACGTTTAAAATTATTCCCTGTCGTTACCACAATCGTGAAAATTAAAAACATAACTGACCATAGGAGTTTTCCTCCCCTTCAGTTTTACTCTATGTCAAGAATATGTCCATGTGTTGACAATCTAAATGTTTCTTATTTAATAATGGGTCATCATACAATGACAGAACAAAAGTGATTCACTGCTGAGGACAAGCCAAATTCTTTGCTGTATTGAAAGTGGTGTAAATCCAAAGCAAGTCAGATAATTTAAAAATTTACTCCAGTTTTGCAGCTGTGTGACAGAGAGCAGAATGTGGCCACATGTTATTTACTTCACACAGTTTTATCATTTCATTTGTTTGACTCGACTACAATAAGATGAGGAAAGAATATATTTTCCTCCCGGGAGTCATTTTAACAGGGAATCAGTGTCTCCTGTCCTTCATATACCAGGGGTAAGATGATGACATCATTATTACTGGAACAGACTTTTTTTTCCCTTCATATATTCCATCCATGAAATACCAAGAAAGCCCCCAACTTTCCCGTGAGGGTGAGAAACTGCTGTGTGCACGTACGCTGCTACCGTAAGCCTGCATTTTATTATTTTTTTTTTTTTAATTTTTCATGGTTTGAATTCACGCAGAGATTGCACAAGATCATCCGCAACCTTCAGCTGAATGAAAACGTTAAAAAGAAATAAATAAAGGGAGCTGCCTGCGTCTGAGCGCACATTCTCACAAGGCGCTGGCCCCGGTTCGGGAGACTCACTGACAGTTGTAATCTGTTAGATATGCAACGGTTAGTCATGTCAGATAGTCAAAACTGAAAACTGTTTCAAGACAGGAAAAGGTGGGCGTACAAGTGACTCAATAAAACAGTCAGCAATCTTCGGCCTTCATGCTCATTTGAGCTGCTACTTTACCAGACACTAAAAACTCTCTTCCCCCACCCGCCCCCCCTTCCCTGTGTGTATACGTGCATTTTTGTTGCTTGGGCTTTTCCTCTTGCTGAACTCTGAAGGCATTCAATCAAGACACAAATCTTAAACGATATGTTACAGCACAAACTTAATGCAGTTTTTTCAAGCCTAATAGAGAACAGCTTATATATAAGGCATAATACAGAACAGAGCTTTGGTTGTCAAATCTAGTAATTGGTCTTTCTTTCTGGCCCAAGTCATATATCCCCCAAACCTGCCTGAGACACGCGTCATTTATTATCAGGAGTGCAACTTCAAACTGTCTTGGCTATATTTTTCACAAACTAGAATGTGACATGGATTTTTATTGTTTTTTTAAGGAAATATAACTGTCATTTAGAGTAAAATGATTTTCCAGGTGTAGCTGCGCTCCAGCTGTGCCCACCTCTCTGAGAGATGCCGGTCAGAGGGGAGGTTGGGACCTCAGCAAAGGTGCACAAATCTCAGGAGGCTGAATTCTGCCTCAGTGGAGAGGCACGGCCACCCCTGTTTTGTGTGGAAAGGGATTATTTCTCACATCTTTTCATAGAACCACAGAATAGCTTGGGTTGGAAGGGACCTTTAAAGGCCATTGAGTGCAATGGGCAGGGACATCTTCAACTAGACCAGGTTGCTCAAAGCCCCATCCAGCCTGACCTTGAACACCTCCAGGGATGTGGCATCTACCACCTCTCTGGGCAACCTGTTCCAGTGTCTCACCACCCTCATTGTAAAAAATGTCTTCTTTCTATCTAGTGTAAATCTGCCCTCTTTTAGTTTAAAGCCATTACCTCTCGTCCTATTGCAACAAGCCCTGCTAAAAAAAGTCTGTCCCCATCTTTTGTATAATCATAGAATCATAGAATGGTTTAGGTTGGAAAGGACCTTGAAGATCATCGAGTTCCAA